TAGGAATCAGGGAATTTGACTTTGACCGGTTCCCGACGAGGAGGACGTGCCTCCTCCTCCTTGGGAGCTGCCGCTTTGACGCCCTCAATGGCACCGACACAGAACCGCTCAGTCTTGTCGAGGCGGTGACCCACCTCGGTCCCTATAGCGCCTACCAGCTCACGCGCAAAGTCCCGAAACCCCAACTTTATGGAACGCACAGCTATGTGTTGAGTCCTACTAAAATCATATTGCTCCGCCTGAATTCGTGCCAGGCGTGCAACGTTTCGGGCTATGACTCGCATTTGCGCTGGGAGTTCGGTCTGGGTGGCCAACTGCTCTTCTATATTCTTTACTTCCTCTAATTCTTCTGCCGCCTCCGCTGCCGCGTCCACCTTCCTCTTCTTCTCCCTCATCACTGCCAACTTCCACTCCACCCTCTTTTCGTCTTCCAATGCCTGCCGCTTCACAACATCCTTTTCTGCTTCCCAAGCTCTCATAGCGGCTTCCTGATCATCTTTAGAGATATACATCGCCACCTCTTTTTCTTCGCCCAGGGATAAGTTGGCGACCCACTCGGAGATTCGCTTCTCCATCTCTTCATCCCTACTACCACTGTACTGCACCCTCTTCCTCTGCAATGGCGTTTCATCTTCTTCCTCCTCTTCCACCTCTTTCAACTTCTCTTCTTCTTCTTTCTGTATCCTCTCCTTCTCTTTGGCCATCTCTTCCTCTATCTTCTTCAGTTTGGCCGCCTGCTCCTTCTTCAAGGCCTTCTTCTTGGCCGCCTCCTCCTCCTCCTCCTGCAGAATGGCGGCCATCTTCTCCTCCTCCTCCTTCGTGTAGGGGTTGGCGGAAGTCCCACCACGAGTGGGCCCTACTCTACACGTGAAAGTGGGCCAAAAGCCCAGAGGAAAGAGGAGACGCCAAAGGGTCTCCCAGAGGGAGAACCCAACAAGTAGCCCATACATCGGATAGTCATCCATCGTGGTGTTGGTGCACGACAAAGGTCCCACTCCTCACCACGTAGACCTACCCGGACACTCTAACCTACTGACTGACTCCCTAAGGACCACAGGATAAGACCATGTCAATGATGATCACAACTAACCCAAGACTACTCCAAGGCTGTCACTACAGAACCAAGAGCTGATCAGGAGGTGTTTAAGAAGATCCCCCAAACTTCGCAAGAATTCTTTAACGTCGCAGACAGGACGACGCGATCAGCTTGGTTCCTCTGGCGATTTCAGCCCACAACYCAGCCCGTCCAGCCTCCTGTGCCACACCGAGCAGCCCGCCGGTCAGTACCGGTCCTTGGAGGGGTTCGTATCCCTCGGGACAGTCRAGTCGTCAGACACGGATCATCAGCCTTTTGGGTCCGGTAGGGGAGTGGCTCAACCAGGCCTCAACACTTAAAGACGATCTTCGTTTCAGCCTACAGCTCGAAGTTCAGACCCTCCACACTGAACTCAGTAGACCTGCCGGACAGTACCGGTCATTGGGCTAGACGAGTTGTTTAACGAGCGCTCGCCGCTCATGCCCAGGTCTCCAAGTGCCAGAGTAGAGCTTTGGTCCTACTAAGCCCGTGCAAGTTTGGCAGCAAGGCCCTATCCTTCATCCACAGAGTCCTAGCACCTAAGACAGAAGAGACTTAATGCAGAAAGAGTAGACATACAACTCAGCAAGTACCGTGGGGTAAGTGCACATCCACAGGGTAAGGGGATAGGCTAAGGGCTCAGCGAGATATCACCAA